GATTGAGAGACCAGAGGAGAAATGCAGGTTTATAAGCACAAACTATTGATATTTCTCCTCTGGTCTCTCAGTCACTGGCGAAAGCTAGTGGATACTACCTGAAACGTCTGACCGTTTCCAAAATCATATCCAGTTGCTTGAGTAACTGCTTTTTGGCGAATCGTATTACCTGGATGTCTAACCTTCATCGACGCGACTTAATAATGATATGGTGTAGAAAAGGTTAGAAGTTTGCTGCTAAAAGAGTCCTGTAGTACCACAGCGATACATAGGAAATATGTGTCCATTATGTCATGAATTCCAAGTCGATTAGTCACCACAAAAACCATGAAATTAAATCATAGGGAAATAGATATATCAATGAGCAAAAAACGCATGTTTAATTGATGTAGTTTGACGTTTAATTGTTGGTCAGAACTTTGGTAACATACATAGGGTACACTTTGTAAATAGACCTTTTGCACACTGGGAGAGAGTTGATTCGGCATTGATAAAGTATGAGAAATCCCTCCCTACACGTAAGCTCTGTTAAGATTGTTGTGACTGTTTGCTTTGCCGCCGTGTGTGCCCTTTGATCATATACATGTCAGTTGTACAAATTGGGGCAGTCTTTTTATTTGGCACTTGTGGCTTACACGTTAATGACCTTTGCCACTGTACGTGTGCAACGTACATATAGAATACAACTCGGGGTATTCCGTATCGCCCGAGGTACCAGCCCGACCGCGCGTCGGATCGCCCGAAGGCCGGAGGGAGATCCGATCCGCGGGGGGGCTGGGACCGAGGGTGATGCGGAATACACCGTGTTGTATTTTATTTATGTCATACCCACCCAAGAACCTTTCAATGCAAAATGAGCGAAAATTTGGTGTCCCTAAACCAAAAAAATGCAACAACGTCAATTCCAACGTCCGAATTTTGTATTCGAAATTTGAAAGCGGCACACGCGCGGTTAGAACGTATACGGTAAAACTGTGGCCGGCTGCTAGAAGGTGTCAGACCCTCAGTAAACGTTTTGTTCCATCATTTAAGAGCTATCAATAGAAAAAGACATGTATAGTTTATCATCTTAAGGTGACTTTAGTTTGTAAAGTACAACAGGATTTTACAATGCAGAGAAAAAATAACATATTGTAGATCAGATAATATGTATGTAACTTTTGTTTTTTGATTGTTGTATCCACTCATATAAAGGAAATCTATTGATATCCAGGCTGCAAAATCATTTATTTTTGAAATAGGAAAAATTGTCCTATACATGTCACAAAGATGAAGCAACACTAACAGTTTGTTGATCTGTAGTTTTGTCATCATTGACACAAAGCAATCATACTCCTGATTATAAAATTACTAAGAAGTGTTGTTTGATCGGTCAACCCTAATATCCTGTATGAGGGATATTTGGGTAAATCATTAAAACCTGATTCAACTTCAAAGTTCAACTTAACGTTAATATAAATATCCCATTTGTCAGTCTCTGACATGAAAACAATATAAGTCAAGTCATAGGTTGTCAGAAATTTCTTTGTTGAGGCACACGCGTTGTACTTAAAGGCATCCAGTGCAGTTTTTAGGGCTTGGAAACCCTATTTAGTTCAAAGCCAATATTCTAGTCAGTTTTCTACATACTGAGTTGAAACCACCCTATCCCAGTGTATATTGACCCCCGTGGAGCAAAAATTCCCAAAATTCTGACGGAAAATGGTTACTGGAAGGGCACTGAGCTGATTCTTAGGGTACCACTCAGAAAATAAAGGACTCATCTTGGAGCTTGTTTCTGCACCCAAAGTATGAAATGCTGACTCAAATGTGCTAATGTGAAGCAGTATGTGTCAATATCACAAAGATTGCCTTATTACGAATTATACCAATTTTGCTGCCCTGAAATCGCATTGGATGCCTTTAATGACATTTACTCATGAGTCAGAAATGGCGGTAACTATTCTCAAACAGGAAATTACTGTTACAGTAAATCTTTCTGACTATTCTACCATTTCACTTGTAAAACTATATATGTGTCCTCAATAGTATAAAGGTATCCGGTTTATAACCACAGTGAACAAAGGGTGAAATTTATGGAAAAATATTGGCATCCTATTTTCAACAGAGGCTAATGCATTAAAATACATTCTTTATAGTAGTGTACACACTCTTTACCCTAATGTTTTGAACTGATACTATCAGGAGGTAATTTTTAGACCATAACACCCATTCTTTCCTCATTTCATCCAGATGACAGAGCACTTTGTTGTTAGACCCAGGGAGTACAAACAATTATTGTACCAAATGATGATTGCCATGAAATGTAGTGGAAAGTTGGTAACAAAACCAGGTGCATTTGAGAGACCCTCTTTTGTATCATTAGCACGTGGAACAGAACAGCTGATTTTCAGCTTAGGCCACACCAATTTAATTTCTCGGTTAACGGATTTGCCCGCTTCATTTTTTTCTGATTTGGAAATAAAAATAAAAATTCAGAATCAACTGCAGAATGCTCATATTTTGCCCTGAACAGTTGAAAACAGTCCTTTTCATCCTAGTTGTTACAGTTATTTTATCTTTCAATGCAATGGTATCATTAAAAGTTCAAAATTCATTGTTTAAATTTTGAACCAGCCTGGTGTGTTGACTTCATGGCTCCTATTGTACCATTTTGGGCATTAATAGGATGCCTAGGCCTGTTTTTATTTTTCATTTTTTCGCCTGCCCGCTCCATTATTTTTCTAGAAAAATCCGTGAACCAAGAAATTAAATTGGTGTGGCCTTATAGGGGGATTTGCAGAAAGATTTGCAAAACACTGAAAGGTTTTTCAGTAGTCCTATTTAGACTGGTAGGTGTTATGAAGGGGCTCAGTTGGCAAGCTGCAGCATTACTTGACAGCCGTGTTCTCTTCCTTTCTAGCCTGCTTTCCCTGTTTGTGCTTGTGATGCCTTTTTATTGAATACTCGAGTAGTAAATTTCTACATCTTACTGCAGTCTCAATTGTTAAAAGTTTTAACTAGTTTGGTTAGTGTCTAGGAAATACGACCCTTCCAAACTTTTTTCTGGCCCAGGAGTTGACCTTTGGTCATAAAAGTGAGTCCTAATGGAGACCGATTGCGTCCGTAACCATAGCAACTATTGTCGTCGGTAACGGCGCAGACTCCTGAGTGCAGCAACCATGAATATTGCTGCTAAGTTCCGCAAGGGAACAAAGCTCGCTGTTGTCTCAAGACTTTGCAGAAAGTGAAAATAACAAAGGCCATTCAGTCCCGGGAAGAAAGGGCATTCAGATGTCATGTCATTAATGGCCCAATTAAATCTTCACTTGCTTTGTTAAGGTCAAGAATAGAAGGGTAACGATCTACAACCTAAAAAGATTCTTGTCGAACTTCATTCATAAGTCGCGCCTTTTTTTTAGAAAGAGTTCAAAGACATCGATTTTTGAAAGAGTGAATCTTTGAACAGAGCCTGCAAAGGTGTTCATCTACCTAAAAACAGTTCTGGTGATGTATTATGAGGATTTATTAGTGGAGAAAAATTTGGGTCATGACGTCAAAGGTCATGACAGTTAGCATTTACAGGTATCTATGGCGGTGTCCTGGGGACTGGCCTGGGTGTAACACAGTGTTTCCCTTGTCTAGTTGGTGCTAATGAGCAGATTCCACAGGGATTACAGACATTACTATGGTTCCTCCTGTAAGGTGACCTCTATAATGTGTCCACTAAAACATTTCATGGCCACGCCAACTTTTGTCTCAGAAAGTAACCATAATTCCGTTTCATGGAGAAAATTGCATGAAAGAATTTGTGGCTTCCTCTCTCAT